GAATGATGGCTGAAAAAGTGCTTCTGGGCATCTGAATCTCTCGTTGCCAATGGTGATGACTTGACCATCTGGAAGTTAATGTGACTTCTCGAGTTCTGATGATGAGGCAGATTTTTGCATTTTTTTGTCAAATCAAATGAAAGGCGGCAAAGTTATTTATAGTAATAAGTAATTATTTATTTTTTGAATTTTTATTCCAAATATAACAAGAAATTTGTGTGTTATTTCACACATTTATTTAATGTTGATTTCCGATATTTATTCGAATTTCAAATGTTTTTTCGGGATATAAGGATTAAAAATGATAATTTTTGATTACAAATTGGTTTTGCATATTGTTGTTTAAAATAGTACAACTTTAAACTATAAATCTATTTATAACAAATCTTGAAATAACCACTCAATAATCGTGTTAATTCAAATTTATGTCAAGTATTTTCTTTGTTTTATCACAAACTTTTTTGTTATGTAGCAAGTGACGTTGTTTTATGTAAGATTTAATTAGTACTTTTAATTAATTTAAACCATTTTATTGTTTAGCAATTTTCAAATAAAAAAACACCAAAAATGGTTTTTGCATTTAATTTGTTAAAATGGTATTCATTAATTAAAAATAACTATAATTGTCTTGCATGAAGTACAGTTTTGAACAAAACGGGGTAACCTTACTGTATTTATTTTTTAAATTTCGAACCATGCCTCGGAAAAATTTGTTTTTTTTGCACTAAAATATTTTTTGGCAAATTAAAATAAAACTCAACTCATGGTTACTCCCTATTATAGAACAATAGTAAAAACTTCTGGTATTTAAACTATTAACAACTGGTTGATTGTTATAGTATATACATGATATAATAAATTATTCAAATTTATTATAACAATATAATAAAATTAACGATATCTTAACTAATGTTTAATTTACGACAATGAATTTATGTATTAAATTATGTAATAAATAATATATTAAGAAATACAGTCAAACCTTTCAATTCTGACACCTTTTGATTCCGACATTTTTAATTATTTATTATTAATAAAAAATACTATTGTCAAAATTCAAAGGTCCAGTAATAAGTCACAAAGATAAAACAAGGCAAAAACTAAATTATGGTAAAACCCATTTAAACGTATTCAGAAGCAGTTTTAAACACTTTTGATATAAAATTAAGAATTGTTATTTTCTCTTTTTCTGGCATTTCTGAATCCATAACTCTTTTCAAAAACGAATCGGCATCTGTACACAATTCATCTTCAAATGTAGTTACATTTCCCAATGGTGTTGTCTCTTTCGAAAATTCCAATATTTCAAGTTCATTGTTTGTTATAAAAGGTGGTATCTTTTCATCCATTCTATCTACAAATTCTTCATCTGAACTTTTCTCGATTACAACACCACTTTTACTTAGCTTTTCAATCGAACGTTGTATTTCAATGTCGTTTTCGTTGTTTTCATCAATGTAACTTTCTCGAGGTTCTCCCAACAGTGTGGTTTTATACCAACATTTGGTTACTGTTTTGTTTTCTACACTCAACCAAGCTCTGTCAACAAAAGGCAAACACTCTACAAAAGGAAGCTTCTTAGCTTTTTTGATTTCTTTCTTTGAATCAGAAGTGACATTTTTAACATTGTGTTCAACGATATTGACCAAGTTGCGCAGAAATAGCTTCCAGTAATTTTTCTTGAAAGTGTATATGATACCCATGTCGAGAGGCTGATAAACCGAAGTTACGTTAGGCGGAAGAAAGATCACGAATATATAGTTAAGTTTCATAACTTTGATTTCAGTGTCGACTTTTATAAACAAATTGTGTGTTGAACAGTTGTCAATGATGAACACAATTTCGTGTGGATTTGGAGAGTTGATTATTTCGGCATCCCAATCCAGTATGTATCTTTGAAAAATTACAGTGCTCATCCAAGCATTTTGTTGATCCAAATAAATGATGTGGTTTTTCTGTTCTATCTGCTTTGTCATTCCTCTTGGTTTTACTGACTTGCCAATTACCACTGGGTTTCTTCGGTTTTTACCAGTAACATCTGTAACAAGAAATACAGTAAACCGTATTTTATCACACTCGATTCCAATTTCCTTTCCTTTTTTGATGTTCAAAGATGATGGTTCGAGAAAGTGTATGTTAAGACCAGTTTCATCTCCATTGAAGATTGATTCTTGGCCATAAGTATCAAGGAAGTGTTTTACAATAACTCGAATTGTTTCGATGTAATCACAACATATTGATAAGTCAACAACAGGAGCTTCTCCATACTGCTTGTGTATACTGAGAGAGTGTCGTTTTTTGAAAGAATCTAACCACCCGTTTGATAAAGTAAGATTGATCAAATAACTGTCTTGACTCATATTAAGCTTTGTTCTGTTGGCCAAGTATATAATAACATCGTCATGTATCGGTGTGTTATTTTCCAATAGCATGTTTATGGCAAGCATCAGATTTTGTTCAAA